GATTGCTTTCAATGCTTTTAGTAGGAGGCATCGACTTCTGCGATTTGTTGCTTGTCTTCTTCGGCTGATCTAGGAATATTCTCAGGGCTGCTGTAGATGGCCCTGCCTTCTCTAACCTTGGTCAGCAGTTCCTGTTTCTTCTACTTAATGGCATTGGGTATTTGAGCCAGATTGGACTTATGACGATCGATGGCAGCCTTCACATTCTCCAGTTCCTTCTCAAGTTCTGCACGCTTGGTTTCTAGTTGGCTCAGCTCTGGATCAATCCTGAGGGGGGAGTTCTTCAAATTATCGATCAGGTGTACTAGCTCTTTGGCCTCTTGTCTGTTGGAGTTCTTCTTGGACAATAAAGCTTCACGATTAGGCAGGTTCCTCTGAGCCTTTTTCACCTTTGAGGCTTGATCTTCAATGATGGATAAAGGTGACAAGACTTTGATAAGATCTAGGGATAAATTATCCTTGATGGGTAAGAAGACTCTTTGCATTGAATCTGCATCTTGGACCAAATCGGCTATATTCTTCTCAAGCATTAGCAATATGTCCCTTAGCCGATTTCCGGTCTCTTATGATAAAGCTTCTTTAGAAAAGGTGGCTGATGAGCTGATTTCATCTTCATCTATATACTCTTCAAGGTTGAAAGAGTAGCTCGGAGTTAGAAAATTAAGTTTCTATATAAAAAAATCTTGTTAGGAGGATTGGATCAGTTTATAATAAGATAAATGGTGAAGTGGATGCCGTACCTTTCGTGGGGTAGTCTCTATCTGAGGAGAAGGAAAAGCTGATGATGCACCAATGGTATCTGGTTGAATCGGCTCTGAACTTTCAACATTGGTATCTACAAACACCGAGGAAGATTTTTCAGTTCATGCTTGTTGCAGAAGGATAAAATATACATATGACTTTCTTACCATCAATTGCTTGCTGGACTGGAGGTTCAACAGTCTGGATCTCAATAGCAACAGGATCATTTCCAATGGTTAGACTGTCAAACTCCTGCTCTTGCGTGAACATTTCCTCAGGGAGTATCTGGCATGATAAATGGTCAGAAAAGGGTAGAAGTTGAATAAGAGTTAAGAATTTTGAGGAGATACATTGGCAACATCAAGGATTGAAGTGGAATTGTTCTCATCTTATACGGTCTTAGAAGCATTGGTTGGTTCAACCGAAATCGCCTCCTTTTAAAGATCGGCCAATGAAAGTTTAGTTGATGCTGATTTGAACGTCTAGGACAACAGTTTCACACTCAGAGCAGATTGGGATACAATGGTTGATAACTGTGAGGAAAGGGGATTAGAAGTTGAATATCATTTTGAGTAAAGGATATATCATTTTACCTGAGCAGTTACCGGTCTTGCTGATGTTCTTATTATCATTAGTTTCAGCAATATCAACCTACCCGATCGAGATCGATCTAGATCGGCCTCACATCCTTTTTAGTCCGTCGCTTATTTTGTCGCAATGCGATGGTTCTTACTTTAGACGATAGATTATGTTTTATCGACTATTCTGTCTCGATCTTGATCGTGCATAGTACGCGGTTAAGGCATGCCTGATCTTGAGGAGGTTTGCTAGCTAGTTGAATATGGACTATAGCTCGCTATTATGGATGTAACGATCCGGTCGATCCCCACTGTTAGTACTTTAGATCGGAGAATGCTAGTTGGTAGATTTGCTTTCGACTAGGCGTGACCCTAACTGTTTGCTATGCCTACATCGGCGAAATAGCCGATCGCCCGTACTTTAACGCTTATAGTATGTTTTCATGATCCTATTAAATGTGAATAGAACTGTTTATTTTAAAGGTTTGATTTGTTGTATTTATCATGGCTGCCATCGATCTGGTCGAACCCCACTGTTAAGGATAACAGGTTAGGTCTGATGAGTTTATAGATCTATTCATATTAAATAGTCGATTGTTCACATGCTGTAATCCCTTTTTTATCTGAATCTGCTATTTTCAGCCAATTCGCCTGTGCTTTCATAGATATGGCATGCTTTTAGAAACCTATCAACATATAGATGGTTTTATGGATTCTTTAGCTTTAGTTTGTTGTTATCATCATAGCTGCATTGATTCGGTCGAACCTTACTGTTGATGGTGACAGATTAGATTCAGAGCGTTTGTAGATCCATTTGTGCTAGACAGTCGATTTGTTCGCATGTTATATCCTTTCACGTTAAACTTATCGGCTCAATGCTTTACACCGGTTATATTTATCTAGCTGATGATGTTACTTATATCTGGGTGCATTGTATTCGTTACTGTAAAATCAATCATGACTCGCGAAGCTTTACAGTCCTTAACAGCCGATTTCTTTTCGTATCGACTATTTAGTCGATTCTCCCATCTAGCTGCTCCCGAAGTGGCACACTTGGAACTGTCTGGGTAAAACCGACATGTTCCACCTTAAATTTCTGATAAACTTTCTCTCCTTGTCAATAGCAGGTCAAATTGACTGGCACGCCCCCAGGAGGAATTCGCAGGATCGGCTGGTCCTACGTTGAAGTCAAGCGGATCTCCAGTCTTGCTCCATCATGCAGATCCTTCCGGCTTGCTATGTATTGACACATTTTTGTGTCGACACCCGAACTGCAAGGCCACGAAGGACTCGGGGGCTCCTGACAAGACTAAAACATAGGGATATGTTAAGTCCTAGGGTTATAAGTTCATGAACGAAGGACCCCCGACTGATCCCCTTGGATCGCTCGGGGGCTCGGGGGCTATACCTATCAGGTACACTCACGCGGACCCTCTAGCCAAAGGATCGGGCGAGACCCAAGCATGCCCTGGCCCCTGCTTGGGACTCGGGGGCCCTCTCGAACCCCAAGCTCCCGATCGAGCCAAGGGTGAGGCAGGAACGCAGCGCCCAGAGCACCCAAGGCTCGGGGGCTTCATGGTGCCGCCCCGACCGACGGGCTCAGCACTGTGGCCCACTCCTCCGATAAGGTCACGCCCGCGGTGTGACACAAAAAGACAAATCCCTCCACCGGCTCCAGGGGCTCAGGGGCTCCTAGGCCAGTGCGTCAGCCCCTTCAGCCGGCTGCCTTCACCGCCAAGGAAGCCTTGAGAAGGCTCACCCGGTGGAGGCTAGTTCAAGCCGATAGGCCCGACGGTCAAAGCGTTAGGATAGAGCAGCTGGACGGCGCCCAAAGCCTCTCCGACTCCACGACAATGCCGAGATGCATCTACGCCGCAGCAGCGCCCTCCTGGACTCCAGTGCACGTAGACCATAGACTCAATCCTCAAACCGCCTTGTACCTGACCTACCTCAGAATATAAGGGAAGGTCAGATCCTATAGAGGGGGAGGTTGATCATTCGCATAGAACACACAGAGGGAACCAATCCATCCCGGTTCCTCACTGAGCTCAACACCAAGAGCAGAGCCACCTAGAGAGGAGCAACCAAGAGCTCCTCCCCCATCGTCTTCCTCCTCTCCGACGAGGAGGAAACCTTACTGCCGATGAGCCTAGGATAGCACCGAGCAATCCCCTGCTAAATCTCTCCTACACCTGTTGTAACCCCCCGATTTGGATGCTCTTGAATACAAGGAAACTACCACTGCTAGACATAGGGCTCCGATAGCCGAAACTAGGGTAAATCACTGTCTTGTCTTTGTTCTTGAGTCCACCTAAGCCACTGGAGACCCACACTCAGTGACAGTCGACAAACAACAATGCTTGCCGCGGTCTCGAACCCGCAACACCAAGTTCTCTATTTTGGGAGCTTGGACTATGTCACCAACCATAGCGGCTAGATTCACCCTTTTGAGGAGACGTTGTGAGAGGAAAGTGAGTCCCTAGGGTTGTACCCTCCGCTGGGTCTCCTTGGAGATGACTTGGAGGTCCTGGCCCAATAGATCCGACTAAGTCTGCGACCGAAGCCCACTGTGTCAGAGCGTCGTCGAATGTTCTACACATTGGCAACTGTTCATCACCAGATCGTCGCTAGAGAGGAAGTACCGCCGCCCCACCACTTCTGGTACGTCCTGTCGGACCTCCCCTATGGGATCCAGAATGCCGCAACATCGTTTCAGCTCGTGCTGGGGTGTCTCATGAGCTGGAAGGCACCACACTGTATTGTCCGCTTGATCAGCGCAGCGGGGGTCCATGTTCCTTCGCTGCGCAACTTTCTGGAGATACTTTCAGGGCTCGGGCCAGAGTACGACTCCAACAGGGCCAATGGCTACTATGTCAACAGGTGAGTGCTTCTATGTCAACAGGGGACAAACCACCGACGCCGCCCCCGAGCTCATGCGTCCGGACTTGAGCCCGACTAGCCGCGCCACCTACCTCAAGGAGAAGGCCTAGCGCCTCCTGGCGTGACAGGCTGATCTAGGTCCTGACCACGCCAAGCTCGAGAGGAGAAGGGAGGAGAACGAGTGACAACAGGCTGCCCAGTGCGAGAACGACAGTCGCGCGGGGAGCTCTGGACGTGTTGTGCTCCCCCCGGGCAGCTTACAACATGGTGGCCACCTGCCATCTCGGTGACATCTCTTAGAGTGTTCTATGGGTTGGCTGGTGCAACCATTTTTATCAACGGTTGGTGGTTAAACCCATTGTTGAAAACCATCGCGATGGAAGAAAATCATTTTCACCAGGGGTTCTATTAATTAAGAACCTTCAGTGATACATTATCACCAAAATAGTTTTAGGAAACTCAGAGGTCAAAATACCATTGATTAGAATTATTCCTGTAGTAGTGAAGTATATGGAACGTCGAAAGACAGAGATGCAACTTTACTAATTAAACACCAGGAATACTTTTTACACAATGGACGTAGCAGTACAAATGATGAGATGAACTAGATGTCATAGCAAGACATGTGCACAGCAAATAGGTTAACAATCACAAGCACACAAAGACACTGCACACAGTACTGTCACATGATCATGAATACACAAGAGCAAATAGCCAAAATGGCATCGAAGCACTGTGTCTCGTACTGCATGCCGACTGGGCTAGCTCACCCATGCAGAGTAGCGTACGTCACGTAGCTGACTAGCTGTAGTAGTCCCTGGCCTTCCTGTTCCCCCGTGCCGCCGCGTTCTGGGAAGCTGCGGCGGGGCATGTCACCTGAGTACTCGAGGCCCGGCACATCGTCTTCGGCTGGCTTAGGAATGCCGCACACTCCACCGGTCGCCTCTGGTTGTCGAGGCCAGGAATGCAGTTCTTGTTCACGTCGAGGACGCCGTCCTTGATCATTGCGGCGCACACGGGCCCGATGGAGGTGAAGTAGTTGCCGAACAGAGAGAGGTTGGCGAGGCGGCCGGCTGGCCCGGCAGCGAACATGAAGAGCGCGTCGGGAACCTCTCCGTATAGGCGGTTCCCGGCCAGGTTCAGCTGCTCGACGCTGCTGACGCAGGAGAAGGATGAAGGGATCGGGCAGGTGAGCTGGTTCATGCCGGCGTCGATCACGGCAGCGTTGGTGAGCATGCCTAGCTCGTGGGGGAGGCATCCGGACAGCTGGTTGTTCAGGAGGAGAATCTCGAGGAGGGAGCCCTGCAGGTGCTGGATTGACGGTGGGATTGTCCCAGAGAAATTGTTGTTGGCTAGGGCGAGGTAGCTCAACTTGGAGAAGCCAAGATTTGCTGGAAGTGACCCTGACTCTGGAAGTTGTTGTTGAGGAGAAGTGCCATGGCATTTGTATAATCGGGAAGGACTTCCTTATGCAATGTGTTTTCAAGGCGACACAACACGTCTTTGAGGCAAAGGTAGAGGAAATTCGGGCGCTGTGGAGTGCCGGCTCTAAAATCTGCTTGGGCGTACTCGTCGATGATTTGGATCTTTAGAAGGTAGTCGACACCTGCAAGGCTGGGGATGTAACCGCCAAAATTGTGGCGGAAGCTTGGAAGAGGGCAAGATCAGGAGGCTGGTCGATGAAGCCTTCGAGCCTCGGCGCACAGAGGCCAAAGCCATCGAAAGACACTGAAGTGACCGTGAGGTTGTTGTTGCCATGGCCCGGCAGTGTTGGACACTCAAAGCCAACGTAGGTCGTCTTACCGCATATATTATGGCCAATCCACGAGGAAGTTTGCCTGGGGTCGCATGTGATGGTATTCTTGAAGCGCTGGATGACGACGTAGGCGTGGTAAAGCTGCTCATTTGGGAAGTCATTTGGCTGTGGATAGTATGTTGCAGGAGCCCGGCTCCTCCTATACTCCGGCGCAGCGGAACCTGGCACTACAGCAGCAGCATAACAGAGCAGGAGGAGGAGGCTATGTGTTAACGGAAATTTGAGGCGGTTGTCCACGTTATTCCCGAGTCGAGAAGATAACATGGCCGAGCCTTCTTGTGGCAGAACAACCTCTCTCTCACACACACACATATATATATATATATAGGGAATTCTCACCCGACTAGTGGTTTAGAGCATGTCCACCAAATTGAACATCCAGTTTTTTTCAAAAAAAATCTTAATATATATAGGAGACTGAGAAAACAAGATTATAATGATAGAGAACGTATACTGCAGCAGATTGAGAAAAAAATTCACCCTTTTCCATCCATTGATATATGGGACCCACATGTAAATGTCTCATTAATTATTTTGCTCCATCTCCTTTCCTTTTCTCTCTTATCTTGCATTGCACAACACTTGGCGGACGAGCTTGGCATGGCGGCCTGAGTGGGGGCAGAAACTAAGTGAGGTGGACACAGCACGCCGGCTTGTGGTCGGGCACACCGGCGCCTGCTGCCCGAGGCATTGTGGCTGGTGTCCTAGGTTCCACTCCTATAAATAAAGTAGCCTAACAAGCTAAACTAGAATAATAAGCACATAACCTAGATACACAATGTAAAGTGCAGAAGGTTAATTGAGGTAGAGATGTAAATTCCCGTTAATGACTCTAATATTTTTGCTGGTATATCGAGAAGTTTGTGCTTCCCCCCAAATCCGCATTGGAGCCTGTAACACCCTAGTGTTAAGCATTGCATTTGGCACTTGCATTTCATGAGCACAAGCATCATCCAAGCATTCATGAGCATGAGCATGTGAAGTTTCATTTCATTCGCCTTCTCTTTATCACATGTGATATTGCTTATATACTTACATATGCTTGAGATCATGTGTGACCAATGTGAGAAATGGTTGTGAGGTCACAAAAACACCTTAGACATATCTAGGATGGTAAATGGAACAATGTTTGTATTCATGACATCGGCCAATTTTGCTTCTAAGTCCTAGTTTACTCAAAATGTCATTTTTCATGATCCTACTTTGACCAAAGTTGAACTATAGAATAGAGTATTTGCATGGAAGTGCGCCCTTAACAAAAGTTGTAGTTCATGACATGGGTAACAAACTTTATTTAAGGGTCATGAGCTAATTCAGTGCCTAACATGGTCAAATAGAGCCTACAAGTAGTAATGAAATGTTGTTTTCAAACTTAGAAAAATTTGTTAAGTCACAAACTGAGCTCTGCATTTTGAAAAGCAGTGAGAATTTGCCAATGCTTCTTAAAGCAAAGTTGGAGATCTCACATAGCTCTACAACTTTCACTAATACTATTTTCAATGATTTACCATGGATTAGGAGTTACATGTGCTTGAGGTTGCTCCATCAGTCGGCCATCGTCGGCCTGAAACCGAGCAGCAGCAGCGCAGCAGTGCCCGACCGCGCGCAGGCCTCAGGCGCCACCTGGTGGCCATACGCCGGCACCGGGCCCGCCGGTCAGGCCAAAGTGGAGTGAAGAGGGAGGCGACGCCGCTGCTCCCTCCCATTCTCACTCTCCCACCATCGCTCTGCCTCTCTCGCGCTCGCCGAAGCGAAGCAGAGCACCGTACCATTGCCACCACACCTCCGTCGTGCTCGCACGCCATCTACGCAGCACCACCACCCAATCCACCTCGCCCACAGCTTCACCATCATCTCCTCTACCTCCCCGAGAAGCTAGCGCCACTAGGCCAGCACAGGTGAGGCCACATTTCACGTCGCCGTCACCGCCATGGCCGTGGTGCGCCACCGAGCTCAAGCTTGCCGTGGCTAGCCTTATACACCACTCCTCCTGTCTTCTCCATTGGTCCATCATCGCCTTAGGTCATAGATGCTCACGTTGTCATTTATTTAACCGCTATCACCGCCACCATGCGGGAACACGCTGTCGCACCGAGCGTGCCCTCCATGGCTGCGAGCTCAAGCTTGCCACGGTCGGCGCCAACCAGACCCCGTCTGCCCCCTCCTATGTTTGTTTCTGCCACCATCAACCCTAGTCCTTACCCCAAAGATGGCGACCCATCACTGACCATTGGCTCGCCGGAACAGCATGCACCGTGTCGTAGAACCGACCAATTTATAAGAATACAAGTACAATGGCAATCCGCAAGCGGTCGCACTGTCATACTTGAACCCATATAAACCCGGTAGTCCGTCGAGTAGCACGACGGGTCTCGATAAACGATTTACAACAACCAAGATCGTACAGGATTCAACATACATGCCACATATTACATAAAGTTCACAGATACTTTTCATCATCAGAGTACGAATAAAAGTTATTATAAACCGAGTTTGATAAATAAAGCGGAAGCAAATAAGTTCGAAGATAAAGTTTCCAACATAGTTTGATATAGTGCCAAGCTAAATCACGGTCCACAAAAGCAAGGATAGGAATTACTAAAGAAGCCTGCCCAAGGCTTACTCCTCATCCACAGCGGGATAGAAGCAACTCTTGCAATAACCATGATACACAGTGCCATCTGCAACAATGGGAAAATAAACCCTGAGTACGAGAAGGTACTCAGCTAGACTTACCCGTCATGAACCAGAAATAAAATGACTCCAAGGATTATGCAAGGCTGTATAAGTGGACGTAACTTGACAACATTTTGCGAAAAAGGCAATTGATCCGTTGTACAATCATGATTCATTTACCAAGTTAATTATAACTATCCATTTCTAGATTAGCGACTATCCTGTGCCAAACATGTGGTATATCATTTAGAAACATACAATAGTAACCATAGAAGGTATTGTAATTCCATTTTCATCCAAACCATCATGTTCCATAATACAGTTACTACGATGTTGGAGCTAGCCAAGTTTCTCACTAACCGGGAGAGACGGCGATTCGAATCGATTTCAACCAGCTGGGAATTTATTCCTAACACAAACCCAGGTCTACCAGCCACGATAGCCTTAGGTCACCTTTGATACAACTCAGGTACACATTTTGTGGGTACGTACCGTGCCGCACAATCTGGAACACCAGATGCCAGGATGCTCAGGCCAAGCCTACCCTTGGGCTCAGTCTGATCGTTCCCCGGAAGGAGCGCACAACAGAACGATTCCCGGCCTGAGTTGAATTACTCGGCTTCGCGGTCGGAACGAATTATCCGGCTAGCTAAGTGAGAGGCATGCGTTCAATCTTGTCAGAAGTTCCAACAACGGTACGGTCCTTGATTGACATAGACGGGGATAGATCCACACCCAAGACCTCCATGTCTTGTTGCTTCTCTATCGACATCCCGCCCGGTCTCCATTTACATTAACCATGGTTCTTTTCCACGATAGCAATTATAACCAACCGTGCTCCGGTATCCACCTATATCTCGCAGGTGACAGGAAATCACCCGACTTCTACCGGTCTAAGCATGGCTAAGCATATATTCGATCTTGGACCTATACCGGTTAAAGGTGTAATATCTGGACAAGGAATGTACATGCATCAAGTGGTTTCATTCAACTCTTATAACCTAATGCAGCAATCATAAGTACTTAAGTAAACATTTGTAAATTACTGGGAGACTTATAATGCTCCGGGGCTTGCCTCGCAGAAAGGAAGTAGGGCGGTGGTCAGGACACTCAGGAAGCTCTTCAGGTTCTCGCCCACGCCGCCGGAGTCTGCGGCTTGCGGATCCTCCTGCCGATTCCTTCCTCTGCTTCTTCGAATTCCAGCAACGTGATCTCTTCCTCCGATCCTAGATGCATGAGTATGGCATAAGTATTACGAATGCATATATGTTAACAAGTGCATCATGTTTATTGAGTAGGTGCATATCTCTTCTCGGTTATTTAATTATCTACTTCCATAATGCATCGTTTATACCATAAAACAGCAGCTACTTGTTTCACTCATAACTGGAGTTCTACAAATCCAAATCCAGTGATCCTGGACTTTTTGGAAATCTTATCAAATTCTCTACAACTTTTTTATTAACCATTTTTACAGTACACATCATTTTCAACGTGCAATTCATCAAACTCTAGAATCAGTCCGGAAACTATTCAACATGCAATATAAAGTAACGATACTTCTACTTTATGCAATCATTCAAAATTTGACAACATAGAATCCACCAACAGTTTAAGCATACCAATTACATTTAGAATCATATAATGGTGAGGCCTAAACTATTTATTAAATTGCCTTTATTATTTTATTTAGATATCTAGGTTAAATAATAAATATATATCATATGTGCTTCATAAATTCTCAAAAATTTACAGAGCCTTACTAATGCTATCAAAGGACTGCTATAAAAATTTCAGGTCATTTTACTAAGTAGAACATTCTATACAAAAATGACAAGGCAGCAAGGCTTGCAATAGCATAAATGGAAAACCCTATTGAAAAGTGTCAAGCAACAGATTTCATATTTTTCTTAGCATCCACATGGCACTAGGATTACCTCCAACAAATTTCATGAATTTTGGACTCATAAATAATTTATAAAAATTTATGCAAGGATTGACTATTCATAAAAGAAAAATCTATAACTGTAAATCTACCCATGCACTGGTCCCCAAATTTTTACCAGAGCTCATATATGCTAAGACTAACTTACCACAAAAATTTCATAATTTTTGGAGCACAGGAACTCTAGATATAAATTAAACAAATTTGAATGCATTCAAAAGCACATTTCAAATCCCTATTTAAATCTCCAAAAATTTCTACTATACAAGTCAAGAACATATTTTTCCTAAATACTACACTTCCTAAGGAACACATCCATATTTATTTCACAAATTTAGGAGCTACCAAACTGAAGATACAAAAATAACAAAACACACTTGAATCTGGAATTTTTGAACTAGCTTTCAACACTGCTGTCGCTGACTGGTGGGACCCGCTGGTCAGGGGACCCCACGCGTCAGTGACACGAAACAGGGCAGCGGCGCTGCACAGCGCTGGCGCGGCTAGAGCTCGCCGACGGCGAGGTCGCCGGCGGTGACATCATCACACGATGATCTACTTGATATGGCGCATCGATTGAGCTACTTGGGTGGCCTTCTCGTCGGAGCTAGCGGCTACGGCGGCTACAATGGTGGCACGGCGG